CCAATGAAGCATTCTTGGAAGGACCCCATACATCGGTGTGAACGTAGTCTAGAATCCTTTTGGTACGATGAATGGCAGTACCAAACTTGATTCTTGTTTGCTTGCCCAGTACACAATGCTCGCAGAACTCAAGCTTCCCTGTTTTGGCGCCTTTCAACAGGCCTTGCTTTACTAACCCTTGTAAAGCCTTCTCACCGACATGCCCTAGGCGTATGTGCCAAAGTCTGGAAATGTCTGATACATTATCTTCTGAGCTGGTGGAGACAACCACTCTCCCTGTGACTGTAGAGCCGTCTAGAAAATATAAATTTCCTTGTCGAGTACCCTTCATTGCAACAAATGCTCCTCGAACAACTTTGAGGACTCCACCTTCCATAGTTACTCTATAACCTTTGGAGTCTAAAACTCCCACTAAGATGAGATTCTTTGTCAAATCTGGTACATACCGAACATCTTCAAGACTTCTGATTGTTTCATCATGTATCTTCAGTCGAATTGTTCCAATCCCCTTTGTCTGGCAAGCTTGGTCGTTGCCCATCAGCACAACTCCTCCATTGAACTCTCGTAAGCTCGAAAACCACTGCTTGTTAGGACACATGTGGCAGGAACATCCAGAATCTAGAATCCATTCATCAGACTGGCCATATGATGAAACTGTAAAGGCTGATCCTTCACCATTATCTCCATCTCGTGCAACGTTCACCTTTTCCTCTTTTTGGTCTTTATTAGGGAAATCTTTTGCCCAATGCCCCTTCTGGCAACAAGCAGCACACTCGTCTTTTGCAAGACGTCTTCTATCTGATGATTTCCCTATGGATTTTGAGCGAGACTTTCCTCACCCTGTATATCTTCTGTTATTTGTCCTGCCTCTGACTGTCAATGCCTCGGATGTTGAGTCCCTGTTTGCAGATTTATCTTTCCTTCTGAACTCATTATTTACCAAGGTGTTTGCAACATCAACATACTTGATCTTTTCTTTACCATACGGTAAAGTGGTTGTGAGCTGATCATATGAGGCAGGCAAGGAATTCAACAGTAACAGTGCTTTATCTTCATCACCAATGTGATCATCCAAGTTTTTCAAGTCGGTAAGAATTTTGTTGAAGTTATTTAGGTGTTCGCTCATCGAAATACCTTTCTTATAGTCGAAACGAAACAACCTCTTCTTCAAGTAGAGCTGGTTCTCAATGCTCTTTGTCATGAACTTGTCTTCCAGCGCCTTCCAAAGGTCCTTCGCAATATCATATTCTGTGAAGGCTTACTTCTCCTCTTTTGCAAGGCAAAGTCGGATGGAACTGCAGGCCAGGAGATTCACTTTCTCCCATTCTATCCCGTCCAGGTCATCTGGTTTGTCTCCCAGAGTGAAGTGCAGGTTCATCTGGATAAGCATATCTTTAACTTCGTATCTCCACATGCCGAAGTTGCTGCTACCATCAAACTTTTCTACCTCGAACTTAGCATGGGACACCGAGGTCCAATGCCTAGAGTTGCTTGTAGTCGCTGGATTACTTATGGACTCGGTTGATCTCGTCTGTGTAGATTTTACCATTAGACTATTTTTTTTTAGAAACTTTGATTCAAAATTCTGACCATACAGATGTGTCCAGAATACTCCAAATAGTTAGAAAGTACTATTGGATCGTCAGAAACGGACTCTGAATAACTCAGATCAAGCAAAAACAATGTGGATGGTTCAGATCTGTCGAATCCGGTGCATCTAAGATGCACCAGATAATTACTTTGCCACGGCTAGTAAATTGGTGCGGTCAACGGCGCGGCGTGGCTCAACGGCGCAGCTTAACGGCACAGCTTGACTCGCTGGTCAACGGCTTGGTCAACGGCTCGGCTTATGGCTCGGCTCAGTGGTACGGCCTAACGGCTCGACTCCGGCGCGGCTTGGTCAGTGGCGATCAACAGCTCCTTCAGCTCGGCTCGGCTCGGCTAGGCTCGGCTCAGAATGACGTCAGCCTGACGTGGCAACCTGGCTGACGTGGCGACTGACGTGTGGCTTACCGGATTGCGTGGAGCTGACTTGGCACCACGTATGCATTGAGTTGGCACGTGACGTGGAGATGACGTCACTCCCATCCGCGCGTCACTCACCTTCTTCCTCTGGCCGCGCGTGAGGGCGCGTGGCTGCACGTTGACTGACTCGCCGGTTGCTGTAACAGCACGTGAAGCGCGTGGTGAGAGTGGGTTTCACTCTCCTACTTCAGAGGGCACGTGAGAGCGCGTTCCTACTCATTTGGGGCTAGACTTTGCTGTTCTGGACTCCTCTTCTCAAGGGCTTCCTTCTGGTATGCTCAAAAGTGGATTTCAGTCACTTTGAAATCTGGGCACTTTCGGAAAAAATTCGATTTTTCACCGCTCGGGCTCTGATACCAATTGTTGGGGATCGAGGGCACACCAGGAAACACAAACAAGCAATAACACAAGAGTTTTAACGTGGTTCGGCAAGTTGCCTACGTCCACGGGCAGCGAATTTCGCTATATGGAGAGAAATGGAAGAATTACAATGGAAACACACTCTGATAATTCTCTCTCTGTATTCTCTCTTCAACTCACCACACTGAAGTCATCCTATTCACTACCTATTTATAGATGCAATGGGAGAACCAAGCTCTTCAATCAGCAGCCTTTGTTGATAAACAAAGCAGCCATTGTTGAGAAAAACAAATCTGATCCAATATTCAACACAAAAGGTGGAGATTCTATTAACTTTGGACGATATGCATTTCTCATGCTTCTATTAGTGTATTGCTTTGTCATATGTTCACTCACAGCAGCATACAAATGTGTGTTGTTCAATCTTTTACGTGTCTCATTGTAAGTGAATAATAATGTAAATCTATTAAGTGGTTATACTGAGAGTTGTTTCTGACTCAGTCCTACAGTTACTTCTTCATGGATTCAGAGGAAGCAGAGTATGCTGCATTCAAGAAGAAGGTTAGGAGGAATGTTTACATTGACAACCTCTCACCTCAGGTCACTGAAGCTGTGTTGAGAACAACACTCAATCAATTTGGGAATGTTGAGAAAGTTCAGTTCATTCCAAATTACACAGAGTCGAGGAGCATACCACGTTGTGCTTTTGTGGAGATGGAAAATTCAAAGCAGGCCAAACAAATTGTGTCGGAGATGGGTAATTTCCCATTCATGATGTCTGGGATGCCAAGGCCTATCTGGGCTCGTGCTGTTGAAATGGAGATGTTTGATGACCACCCAAGAAAGCCTGGGAGAAAGATAAAATTTTGTTGGTTGGACCCACAAGACCCTGATTTTAAAGTGGCGAAGGAACTTAAGCTTCTGACCAGGAAACATGCAGCAGAATCTTCATTTGTGCTCAAGGTGAATTCTAGCATATCTTTAATATCCACTGTGTATCTTATTTTCTGTGGAAACCTTTCTGTTATTTTTTTTTTCCCTTTTTGTTTGGTTGTCTATGGGTTGTGCCTCCCTGCCACTTTCACAATACAATTTGCTATGTTGCTGTCTAAAAAGAAAAGGATAAATTACACTTTTCACCACCTATAATTTGACTAAAATTTCACTTTGGTTCTTATTGTTTGAATTTGAACAATTTGGTCCCTACACTTTAAGGGAAGTTTCAATTTGATCATTGTATCCAAATGACTGTCAATTTCTTCTACATGTACATCTTAGGAGAGTGACATGTGTAACAAAATTGCCAATTTCAACATCCAATTTAAATGGAAGGACCAGATTGAAACTAGGCTGAAAGGTATAGGGACCAAACTGTTCAAACAATATCGAGTAAAATCAAACTTAGATCAAAAGTGTAATTTACCTAACCTCAAGGGGTTAGCCCCGTGGTCAAGGCTTGGGGCCGAGAGTGTGCTTCCTCTAAGATCTCGGGTTCGAAACCTTCTAGGTGCAAATAAATTTATTAGGGTCGGTCCATACAAGGCAAAGCCCTTGGTTTAATCAGGACCCCTGCAAGTGGATTGTCGGATTGGTCCTTCAGATTTATCAGTTCAATGGGCCAGATTCCGAGTTATCAAAAAATAAAAAGAAGTGTAATTTACCCCCCCAAAAAAAGTAACCTGTGATTTTTATTTCTTGTATTTAATTATTTAGTATTTTTTGTCTCAAGTTCAACTAGCACGGGAAGAGAAGCTTGCAAACCAACAGGCGGAGACTCTGAAGGCGAATTATGAGAAGTATGAGCTGATAGAGGGTGTTCTAAATGATGGAAGTGCAAATCGCTTGGCATGCCATTATAACATGAAATCATTGTGAATTCTTGACAGGTTTCCTGATAAGTTTTTATCAGTTTTTTATTGTTTGAACTAAGGAACAGTAAACTTGTGTTGTTTAGTCATTTCTGACATGGTTAATGGTTTGGTTAATTACCTAGTTTGCTTTTGTTCTTTGTCTACTTCTCGATTAGAGTTAGTTTTCTGTAGTTGAGACAGTTGGGTTGTTTTGAAAGGCGAGTGTATAGCAATGGTAGTGGAAGGTTGTTGAAACTCTTTTCTAGAAGACTTGAATGGAAGCTATTTTACAAATTTTGATGCTGTATCAATAGCTGAGAGTTATGGCTGAGTGTTAGATAGTAAAGACAGACTGGCAACAGAGTTGATTTGAGAAGTTGATGCTGTTTGATGAGAGAAGGCTGAAAACATTGTATCATGTTCAGGGCTACCAATACAGAATTGCCAGGGCTTTTAACAAGAAAGTTAAGTCCCAGAATTTCAAAGAGGGGGATATGGTGCTGAAAGACAACCGAGCTCCCATCCATGACCCTAGGGACAAGGTCAGACCCAATTGGACTGGTTCTTACATCATCAAAGCTATCTGGTTGGGTGGAACTATTATTCCCATGGACTTAGATGGCCTGGAATTTTCACAACCAACCAACATGGACAAGTTGAAGAAATACTATCCCTAAGAGGCTCCCTCATAATACATACATAATTGTTTCTCTCTCTCTTTCCCTATACATTAATTTTAACAATGATGATGTTTTTGAAACTTCCATTAATTGATATTAAATGTTTGCATTACCTGTGTGTGTTCTGTGGCAGTTGAAAGGCTGGTACAGCAAAGATGATGTCGTTGCTGAGTGGAAGGAAGTGAAAGGGGATACATATTTAGACGTCCATTGTTATGTGAGCGGGCCTAATCTCTTACTAGACCCTGCTGCAGAGTTTAGATACCACATATTCTCAAAGGAGTTGCCATTGGTAAGTTCAACTAGGCAACACCGATACCTCATCCATGTAGAAAGCGCTTAACACGTCCAAAGAAACAAATGATAGAAATTTGACAGGTTTTGCATAACTAGCTCTTATCGATGGTGTGATTATTGTGCAGAATTTCCTTTTATCAGCAATTCAATGAGTTGGAATGCAGAGTTTTAGACATCATGGGGGTTTTAATTTTTAACTGAATAGATTATTGAGTTGGGATGGATGACTTAGAGCTCATGAACTCCTTTGTCATGGCATGGCAGGTTCTTAAGGCTGTGATGCATGGAGATTCTCTGCTTTTCACTGAGCATCAAGAATTATTAGATGCATTTGTTCGAGTTTACTTCCATTCCAGTTTGAAGAAATACAACCGCGTGGAATGTTGGGGCCCACTTAAGGATGCTGCACAGGTACTTTAATCCGCTCACACATGACCAATACACTGAGACATATCTTGGATTGAAGAATGTTAGATAAAATGCTCTTTTCTTAGCAACCATGCCTTACCAAGCTACCACATGTTTGTTTGTAACGCCACCCTTTAATAATCGATCAAATTACAACCAAATGCAAATTCTATAATTTCCATAATGATCCTGAGCTGAACTTTTATTTGAATTTGATCATATAAAGTCAAGTTGATTTATCAAACCTTTTCAGGGAAGACGAGGAGATCAAATCAGCGGTTTGTTAAATTTGGGTACAGAAGATTCACATCCTCCTAAAATTTGGGGGAGTCCCAAGTCCATCTTCCAGGCTCTCTTTGCTTTCCTTCTTTGATTTGTGTAGCAAGGGCAAACTGGTAAGCTCCTTTTGAAGGGTTTGGAACTATAAGAGCTTCCATGGAAAACTGGGAGGGTATTTGTGATGACTTCAAAATCCAACATGTAGAGTTGTGTAGACAAAGATTGTTTTCAGGGTCATATATATGATTCTTTTGTACTTGACACAATTCTTTCAAATGGAAACCTCAATTGATCACAATTCTTGGTAAACCAAGACTATTTGTTCATTCATCAATCAATGGCTGATCTTCATGTTGCGTTCTTTTGATTCATTTTATCCACCTTGAACTTTCATGCATGTTAATCTGGTATGCAGGCCAATCAAGCTTGGATTAATTTCATGTCATTATTGTAGCAAGTAGGAAGTAGCAACGACTATTAAATTGTAGGGAGAAATTTTTCTGCATTATTTGACAGATTTAATTACTTATTACGATTTCCTTCCCTTCCCTTTCTTTTTTTATTTTATTTTATTTTATTTTATTTTATTTTTTATGCCAAGAACACCCTCAATGCAGGACTCTTAAGATCCATCCTTACAAACGAAACTAGGAGAAGTTAGCCGATCCAGCTAAACCGTCAGACTTCCACTTGAATAGTAGGAGATTCGAACCCTGATCAGTAAGGACAGGAGCATACTCTCTTACCAACTAGTTGCTCTCCATTAACTTACCTAAAAGAAGAAAATTTTAAGTAGCACACATGTGACATTCTTTTATTATATTTTTCTCTGATGTTTAACGTTGAAAGAACCTCCTTTAAGTTTTTAAAATGGCATTGACCTCTCTTGCTTGGCGCATCAGATTAACGTTGTTAATAAAACTTGACCTTTTACTAATTTACCATTAGTGTTAAAGTCGAGAGCAAATTAAATTAATCTCCGTTAATATTTAACAAAATTACAAGGACTTCTTCAAGGCTTTTGATAATTGTCCTTTTAAAAAAAATGTCATACCACACTATACCAATGTTACTATTGCCAAGGAACTTATCCTTAAAATGGAGAATTAAGTGGGACTTGGGGATTGTAGACCCATAAGTTTGATTGGGTGTGTCTACAAAGTGTTGGCCAAGTTACTTTCAATGCGCATGAAGAAGGTTTTAACCTCAGAAATTGATGTGTCTCAATTTGCATTCTTGGGAGGGAGAAATATTACTGATGGAGTATTGATTGCAAGCGAAGTAATTGATCGATGGAAGAAGGGACCGCTTATTAAGCTTAATTTTTGCAAGAGAGATTGATAAAATTCAAGGTCGATTTCTTTGGGGTGAGAATGATCTAAGGAAGAAGGTGCATTTAGTGAAATGGGATAATGTCACAATAAGTAAAGATAGGAATTAGGAAAATTAGAGTGATGAATGAATGTTTGTTAATCAAATTGTGGTAGTGCTTTGGTACATAGAGGAATTTGCTTTGGAGAAATGTTTTATGCAACAAGACTATTGTTGGTTGCGGATCATGGTTACCTTATGGACCATCTTCCTATAATTCACCTTGAATTTGGAAAGATATCATGAAAGTTAGAAGTCGATGTCCGGCTTTATTTAATTTTTTTGTTTTGAATATCAAGTTCTCTCTTGGGAATGGTAAATCATTATCTTTTTGGTAAGATGGTTAGTTTCACAGGTGTTGAGGGAGGTCTTTCCAAGACTATTTAGTCTGTATGGATATAAAGAGGATTCAGTGCATGATTTCTTGAATAGATAGAAGGATCTGGCAGGTAGAGAGGATTTGTTTGGAAGGGCACTTAGACCATGGGAAGAAGCTGATTTTATACTGTTTCACAATCAGTTAGCATCACTGCCACCACGTTCCATCTGTAGTGATGATTGGTTCTCGAATTGTTTTTCTGTGAATTGTGTTTATGACTGGTTTGTTACCACTTAGGGAGCATTGGTGAACGTTTCGAGATTGATTTGGAGAAATGCTTGCCCTTATAAAGTACAAACTTTTTCGGTGGCTGACGTGGAAGGGAAGGTTGAAGGTGACTGACCTGTTGCTTAAAATTGGTGTTCTAGCGGATCCAAATCAAGGATTGTATCACTTTTATGGGTGTGCTTCGTTGTTATGCATCATGGAGAATCTTGGTTGATTGTATTAATTGGTGGGGTGAGACATGGTGCTTCCATGTTCTGTCACTTCTTTGCTTGATTGGTGGCAAGGTGTTCGAGTAAGGAAAAAGTAAAGAGTGATTTGGGAAGCATTACCGTTCGCTATTATTTGGACAATTTGGTCTACGAGAAATGACTTAGTCTTTAATCATATTTAGCCTAAACTGATTATGTTGGCATTTTGGGTTAAGGCTAAATCTAATTTCGAAGAGTTCTTGATGTCAAATTTTGTGTTCCAGCTGCAGCAGATTAGGATTTCACTTTGAATGTTTGGCTGTTTCGGTACTAGAAGCATATTAGGATTTCTTTGTTAAAATCCGGGAAAGTTACGGGGCTGGTTTGGTAGGATGGGAGATGTGTTCTGTCTTGAGCGGTGTGGCATTCAGTCAGTTGGATTTGCTTCGTTTCTACCATCAGTCATCAAGCGGCAATGTGGTGATTCGGGTGGTTGTAATGTATTGGAGTGGGTTTTTGATTTTGTTTTTGATTGGGTATGGGGTTGGTGTCTCGTCAATTGTTTGGTGTGTGCTTGCATATGATTGGACTTGCTCTCTGATACTAATCTAGTTAAGATTGGTGAGTGTAGCTATGATGTTTGAAGCACTTGTCTTTTCTTTGTTGATATTTTTTCAATGTTGTATATGTGCATTGATTTTCATCAATAAAGTGTTCTTTTACTGATAAAAAAAGAAAAAAAATGATATGTACACATTATTTTTATTCAAACCCGTGTAGTAATATTGGTAAAAGAAAAAAATTAGAAGTCCACTTCTCTCTCGGTCCCTCTATTAATCAAACGACCACTCATTGCCTTAAAGCCTACCTCTTTTACCCATAGTCCAATCCACTATTATACCACCACATCTTGCACCTCTTAGTTCACTTAGTGACCTTGAACCATCAGTTTCTCCATTGTGCAACCTGCGCCACTAGTTGAAACCACCACCCTACAACCCAATTTCACTACTTGGAACTGCTACCTTTTCGTCCTTGAAAGTTGTAACCCACCCCCACCTCGTTATCGCCTTTTTTGCCCATGGTTCCATCAACTACCGGAACAACCCACCACTATTATCAATCCAAAAATCATCACCACTATAATACTTTGGTTTTCAAAATTTTTGTCTTATTGTAATTGTGTTTATCAAAATTTGAGGTTGATGGTTCGTGATCTTGGCTTCACTACAACCATCTCATTGTTTGGACGAGAATAAGTGGATGAGATGATATTGTTGTTAGTTTTTAGACAAAAGGAAGGTTAGAAAGAATGGAGGCTACTTGGTACGCAGGATGGTAGTGCACAATGATGAAAATAGGGAGAAAGAGAAGTAATAACTCTCGTTTCTATTTTCAGAATTTACTTTTCAAAAAATTTTATTTTTTTGTTTTTTGTATTTTTTTTTTATTTTTACTGAATTTTTTAATACTTTAAGTATATTTTTAATTTTTAGACGCATCTAACATAAATATACTTAAAAAGTATAATATTTGTGAAAAAAATTCACTAAATATAAAAAATACAAAAAAAAAACCTAAAATTTAATACATTTTCGTATTTTTGTGTATTTATTAATTTATTTTTTGTTTTTACAAATACTTTACTATTTAGATACATCTAAGTAAAGTACACTTAAAAAAGTAAAAAAATTAATTAAAATTTTAAAAATATTTACTAAAAACAAGAAAAATAAAAAATTTAATTTTTAAAAAATTAAATTTAAAAAACTGAAACCAAACATATAGGTCTTGTGACATACCAAAGCGTCATGTGAAGGGGTTTTTGAGTATTTGTATATTGGAAAATGTTAGGGTAAATTACACTAACACCCCCTCTGTTTTCTTGAAATATAACTGCCACCCCTTTTAATTTCTAAAATACCACTGCACTCCCTCACATTTGAAAATAATGTAACAATCCAGTTCCTCTATTAGTCAAACGTTATTCAATGGAAAAGGATGAAAACTAACTTAAAATGACAATTTTAACCTTATAATACTTATACAGGAAATTTTATTTGCACACACCTACTTATCTTAATGCATATCATTTCTCATTACACACACTTAAGTAATTTAATTATTAATTATTGATCTTATTCTACACATCAAATATTTCAATCATACCCTTAACTCATATCTTGTACACACATTACCTCAACCTCTTTCCACACACTCTCACATCAATCTAGTTTCTCTTATGCAGTTGATGAGCAATTCGTCCACGGCCAAATCGATGGAGTTGATCTATAGTCGAGAGTAAACTCTAATCAAAAGGAAATTGAAGCTCTAACAAAGAACAACTTTGAAGTCAAAAGAATTCCATCTCTATTATCTTCATTAGCCTCTATCATCAAACCCATCTTTCTATTTTCCAAGCAAGCCCTAGTATTTCTATTTGTATGTTGATTAGTTAAATGAAATCTCATTTGGGTCTTTGCTATTAAGATGTTCAATTTGTATTTTTGCTTCATCATGGTAATGATTTGGTAGTAAACAAACACATTGGGAATTGAGGAAGAGAGCAACAAATGTAGAGTGGCTGCAGAGATAAAGAATGTGAGGGCTCTGATCCACCATAGAAGTTAGGATAAGATTAAGATTAACAGCTTCTTCTCAGTTAAGGTCTGCAATATATATGGTTTTTAGGGTTTATTTCATAAGAGTCTATTGTAGAATATTGAATTTAGCCAATTGAAATTTTTTTTTTTTTTTTTAAAAAAAAGAAAAGTTTAACATGTAATGAAAATTCCTCCACAGAACTAAGAATTTTTAATTATTTTATAATGCTTTTATTTCAGCTAGATGTATAAATATGTGATCTTAATCTGTTTGGTTGACTGGAAAACTGATGCTAAGAAGAAAGAAAAAAAGATCATAAAAATCTCCTAATCTATTTTGTTTCCTGCTGTTTTTGTCTAAAATGGAGGAATTAGGGTTTATTTTTTTTTAAAAAAAAAATGATGTGGACTGAGATTTTTATTTTTTATTTTTTATTTTTAAAAGATGTGTATAGAGAATATTTTCATATAATATTATAGGTGTGTTTTAATGTCTATTATGGTCGTTTTACTTTAGGGTGTAATTGTCATTAAAATAATGATTCATTGGAAATAGAATTTCACTACCTATAAAGGTTTAAATTGACATCTTTACCCTCCAT